ATTTTACATATTACGTCTTTTTCTGCAGGAAATACACCATTTTCGCATATTTGTTGATGTTCCGCATTATTGTACACCGCACTTTGACATGATATTTGTTATAAACTTTTAAACAAACATTTGACACTTTGACACTAAAATATTATTCCGCCATATTAGATTCTCGAATATTTTCTTTAGCCCGTTTTGTAGCGCTACCAGCGCTCCAAACGAGGGAGAGGGAACTAAAAACGAGATTACAGATGTTTGTTCCGTGATTACCGGCCATGTGTCAAAATATCAAAATAGTTTTTAAAAACAGAAATATATTAATGATCTCAATAAAATAAGTGAATAATAATTTAATTTATCATCATTTTTCAATTAATTATCATTTTTTTAAATTATTTTTGGTCAAAATTTTGGTCAAAAGACATGATTTGAGTCTATCACCCATCAAATAAAATTGCAGTTAGAAACAATGACTAAGAAAAAAAACTACATTTTTTTTCGAAACTTGTAAATTGAAGGAAATATTGTTAGAAAGTGGCTTGGAGTCAACACCTCTTCTGATTTTTTACATCCAATGAAAAGGTCATTACAAATACAATCATACGATGATTCATCAAAATGGATGTATGTGTGTGTGTGCGGATACAAATTTTCGTCGACGATTTCGGGAACACCGATCAACCAATTTGAATAATTCAAAAAATAATCGATTTGAATTAATAAGGAAACATACTGATTAGTTCATGGCAAAGGCAGGTCTAGTCGTTTCAAATATTCGGAGCAAAAGGTGCAAAAGATAGTAGGTTCTGAGAGAACAAAACGGCCGATTTGATTATTCAAAAAGCATTCGATTTTTATTGATGTGGAGACGTACTGATTGATTTTTGGTATAGGCAAGTCCGGAGATACAGAGCAAAAAGTGCAGAAATTCCGATTAGATTCCAGACGTCCGCTCATAGCGTTAGTAGATAAGAATTTCAAAACTGATCGGGTTCAAATCTCACGGCTGTAATTTTTTTCAATATTTTTCATGTTTATGTACACATGGCCGGTAATCACGGAACAAACATCTGTAATCTCGTTTTTAGTTCCCTCTCCCTCTCCCTCGTTGGAGCGCTGGTAGCGCTACAAAACGGGCTAAAGAAAATATTCGAGAATCTAATATGGCGGAATAATATTTTAGTGTCAAAGTGTCAAATGTTTGTTAAAGTTTATAACAAATATCATGTCAAAGTGCGGTGTACAATAATGCGGAACATCAACAAATATGCGAAAATGGTGTATTTCCTGCAGAAAATGACGTAATATGTAAAATGATTAGTAAAATAACTGGAGCCCGGGCTGAGCACTGATGGTGAGAACTAGGTGAATAAGTTTTATCAATATGTACACAACAAATACTCGCATCTATTACTAGAACTTCTGATATAATTTTTTATGTAGCTCAATAACTGAGACATTTAACAGTATCAATGCTAGGATTTTTAAGGTTATAAATACAAGACACCCGTCTTACTAAATCCCTTTCTGGAAGCTATGTTATTGAAAAATTATTTTTTTTATAACACTTTTTTTGTTTGTTCTGGCAAAACTGAAGATGGAAAACCGTCCCTGAAAGGTGAGTTATTTAAAAATTTTTATACTACAAATTAAGTTCGTAGCAAATGATTCTAGATATTTTTTTTCAGCAGAGGTTCTTAAGCACTGCAGAGACCAGATATGCAAAAAACCAAATTATACCATATAACAAATGTATTGAGAAAGAAGTCAGAAGGATAAATATACAAAAAAATATTGAGGCAGAAGTTACAAGAAAGTGTCAAATGTGCTGACAATTTTGCTTATCTCCCAGCAACATTAATAAGAGGGCTCGTAATTTTATATTAAGGCAACTAAGAGAACATACAAAGAAGCGAAAAGAAAGAAAATTTACACTTGATGATAAATTCTTGCTTTAACTCTGCATAAAATTCTCTAAGAGGTTATTACTTTTGGAGAAAAATATTTGTTCTGCCTGCTCCTCAAACATTGAGAAAGTTGCTCTCAGCAATTCCCTTGTATAGTGGTATTAATGAGACCCTTTTCCAACATTGGGTTCAGCTATGGCACAGAAAAAATATGTGAATAGCAAAAACTGTATTCTGATGTTTGATGAAATATCATTATCATCTGCATTACATAACGACTGTAAAAACGATGATATTGTGGTTTTCAGGAACTGGCAAATGGTAGAGAAAGTTTATTTTCTGATCATGCTCTTGTCTTTTTCAAATCAAATAGTTGATACTTGAACTGTTCATATTTTTTGTGATTGTTTAATGTGTTTTTTTTTTTATAAATCTATAGTAATAAATAACGAAGTTGTTAAATGTTTTAGCAAATGTAGAAATGGTAAATAAGTGGCTACTTCATGGAGTATATTTTGCTAAACAGTTTATTTCTGTTTATTATTGGTGATAATACATTTAACAGATGTCGAGAAGTATATAGATCATGAATTGTACAATAATTTACCGGATAACAGCAGAATAGTTTGCAAATGACATCCCCTTATAGTAATTTATTTTAGTAAGCTGTTGATATGCTTTTCAGATAAAAGTAATTTTGGTTTTGTTCTTTAATTTATTGCAAATGTGTTTGCATATAACTTTCTTGAACTTTTGCCAGTTACTGTTATGAGAACATAATGATTTCTTTTTCTTTTGATAATGATGATAATGATATTTTGATCAACATTTAAAAGCAGATAACGCAATGTGCAGAAAGGTGTTTCAGATAGAGACTATACATAGATTTATGTAACTTATCATTATTTGATTGAGCACCAAGATGAATATAAACAGAGTTAATTTACAGGAATATCTTAGGCATAAATGTTATTCCTTATTTTCGAATATGTTTCTCTTTTTTGATTGCAATATAATTTATGACCTTTTTGAATTGTTGTTGCTGGGATTTTAAGTTAACTTTTGAGCGCATGAAGAGAGTTTTAGTAACTTCTATCTCTTTTGTTTGGTATTTATTATTCGGATCAATTCTCAATACTTTAGTTATATGGTATAGATAATGTCTAAATTATATTTAAATTTTCTAGCAATCTAGAAAAATATATAATTTAGATAGTTTTTTTGACATGAAACACACACACACACACACATAATAGGAGTCTGTGGCCTTAGGGCAGGTCTGTGAGCTAAAACTCAATCTCAATTGAGGGAAGAATATGTGTGATATGAAATGGCCATTTCATTTTGCAGTGCTGCAATTGGGCTATTTTTGAATACAAGAAAGCGAGGCTTGGACACACCACCCTGTCCACACAAGACATTGAACAACCATATGTATATATATATATATATATATATATATATATATACATGTAAATGTATGTACATTTCTATGCCATTTGTACATAGTGTATAAAGCTTAGTAGCATCTATTGTAATCATATATGATGTATATATATATGCACATACACAGTGGATAATATTTATGTTCGTTTCTATGCTATTTGTGCATAGTTCATAAAGCTCACTAATCGTCATACATTTATGTGCAATTTATATATATATTTATATATATATATATATATATAATGTGTACATGTATGTACTTTTCTATGCCATTGGTACATAGTTTATAAAGTTTAGTAGCATCTATTGTAATCATATAGATATTTATATATATATATATATATATATATATATATATATATTAATTGTTTAATATGAACAAAACAGCACTCAGATTTGTTTAACACAACTTTTATTTTATGATTACAGACGTTTTCGAGACCATGGTCTGTAATCATAAAATAAAGTTGTGTTAAACAAATCTGAGTGCTGTTTTGTTCATATTAAACATTAATATTCGTTCCACTCATATCATAAAATTCTATATATATATATATATATATATATATATATATATATATATGCACATACACAGTGGATAATATATACATTTATGTACGTTTATATGCTATTTGCGCATAGTTTTATAAAGCTCACTAATCGTCATACATTTATGTGCAATTTATATATATATATATATATATATATATATATATATATATATATATTACAATGTATATATATATATATATATATATATATATATATATTTATTATATACAGTACACATTATATATGTGTATATATACAATAATATATACATTTATGCAAATTGCATATCTTATAAATATGTATTGTAATAGTATATGTAACATGTCATTGTTGAAATTAACGCTTTTTATATTCAATTTTGGTTTTTTTATTTAAAAAAAATTTTGAATTCAACCGGTCTATATAATATTGGTGCATTTCTTCAGCATTTTATATTCGCACCCATGGCCGACGCTGGCGCCATCTACATTGGGAGAGGGAACTAACCCGGGCAAATGACAGTTTTGACCGAAAAACGTGGCAACGAAATATGGCCCGAGAGAGCGATCTATATACTCTTCTTTTATCTATGTTTGTACAGTTGATACTGCATGAACTATTTAAAATTGTTAACTCAGTGTATATATTTTGTGAACGAAAAATTGACGCATTTGAAATAAAATATGTTCATTCTAATAACAAGTCCGATTACTTAAATTTTGTTTGTATATTTCATTTTTCACATTTTCAACAAATTTTCACATTTTATCTACGAGGAACAAATAATGAAAATTCCAGTTTTTATAATGTTTATTCATAGACATTTTTGTTGACTGATTATTTTTATTCTTCGAATTCTAGTACGGAAAGTACCAGCAATTTGCCATTAAAAAAATGACTAGATTAATTTATTTAAATTTGAAATAAAATAATATTTCATGCATATTTGTTCACTATTTCGGTTATAATAGCCTCCCGTAGTGCTCAAAATGACCACTAAAAGCGCTTCAGTCAATTCGAGTTTCCCATCTATGCCTTCACACATAGCGAATATCTATGGTGTTAAATGTCAGTTTCACCAAGCAGAATTAGACGCGTGTAAAACACTTGTCATCGAATATTCAGTGAAATGTGAATATATAATTGATGTTAAACGAATTAAAGAAATATTAAAGATTAATATATGTAATATTAGGAGTACGAATACATAATTGTTAAAAAATGACTGACATAGGACAGTGGTTTAAAAACCTTCCAATTTTTACAAGACATTGGTTAGGTTTAACTTTAGCTTTTAGTTTACTAGGACGTTTTGGTTTGTTAAAACCCGAATACTTATATCTACTTAGTGAAAAATTCATAAATGAGCTACAGGTAATAATAAGTAAATTTTAAAGTCCAAAATCCTAATTCTTGAGAGAATTATACAATTTTACTTCTAGAAGATCTTGATGTAAACCATACAAAAATTGCATCTACCTTTTAGATATGGAGACCATTAACAGCAGTTTTCTATTACCCCCTCAACCCGGCCACAGGGTTCCACTTCATGATAAATTGTTACTTTTTATACAACTACTCGCTTAGATTAGAAACCGGTGCATTCCAAGGACGCCCTGCCGACTACTTCTTCATGTTGTTGTTCAATTGGGCATGTTGCGTAATCATATCATTATTTAAGGAAATGCCTGTAAGTTGTAATAGACAATTAGCATGAAATTGGTAGTAATTGTTATGTACCAACTGAATTAAATTAAAGCAAGACTCTTAAATAATTCTGTTAAAATAAAATATCATTATATTTCCTTTACCTGCAGTTGTTGATGGATCCAATGGTGTTATCGGTTTTGTATGTCTGGTGTCAACTGAACAGAGAGGCTATAGTTAACTTCTGGTTCGGCACAAGATTTCCTGCAATGTATTTGCCTTGGGTTCTGTTGGGTGTAAACCTAGTTTTATCAGGAGGGTAAGTGATAAAATGATACAAGAATACAAAATTAGTTTTAGAGATCTTTACCTTTTATCCATTTTTATTCTTGACTTTGTTACAGTGGCTTCATGGAGTTATCAGGAATTTTAGTTGGACATCTTTATTTCTTTCTCATGTACAAATATCCAGAGGAATATGGCGGTGCACAGCTTTTGACAACACCTAGCGCCTTGTAAGACCTTGAATTTATCATTAACTCATCTATTTAATTCATCATTTTGTTAATCTATAATCTCCCAATTGAATTTTTATAATTGTTTTCAGGAAAAAATATTTCCCAGAAACCCGAGGTGGTGTCTACAGTTTTGGAGGAAATGCACCGCAGAACATTCAAAGGCCGCAAGCACCAGCTGCACCGGCATTTGGTGGACACAGGTGGGGTCCAGGACAACCTCTCGGAGGCAATTAAATAATTACTCACAAGCCATTCACATAAATAACTTGTCATGAGTATATAATTGTACTAGAAGTCATTGCGATAAAATGGTTGTTATTTTTTATAACTAGAATACATATTTGAGTTTATAATCATCATTTTAGCATTTATATAAATAACACCGGTCCGGTTATAACCCACCAATTAAATGTTAATATATTAATATGTTGTACATCATAAATGTAATACTTATTTCATATATAATATATTATTTTAAATAATTTTTTTTAATTATTTTAAAACTATCCTGGCCTTGGTATGGTTCATTATAAAGCATGATTTAGTAAATCATGTTTTATTCTGATTGATTTCATTTCAAAGATAAATGATACAAGTAATTGTTCCATTGAAATGTGTACATAGATAATATCTAGTTTCCTTTTCCTCCAATTTATATTGTGGAATAATATTTTGCTGAATTTTTAATTTTAATCTTTAGTAATAATTGTTTTAAGTTTAGTGAAAATTAGTGAATATTAAGTACAGTATGTGATTTTTTTTGTAAATTCCACTTGCATAAGTTCTAGATACAAGCATTGTTATTTATAAAAAATAGCTGCAACAAACATAGTTCAATTAGAGAAAAGAATAATTCTGTCAAATTAAAATATTATTATCTTACCTTTTACTTCAGATTTTGTGCAAAATCAATCTTTTCTCATAACTTCTTTAAATACACTTTCTTAAATTGGTCATTTGTCATTTATAAATTCTTGCTCTGCTTCTTCTTCAATTTCTACTATTTTTTTTAACTAGATCGATATTTGTGTAATATAATAATATTGTAATGATAATGACTAAAAGTGATTGATATTTTTTATAACAAGTTCCAAAAATTCTAAGAATATTCTAAGATCGTAGACTAGACTATTCTAGTCTAAAAGAATTCTAGATCTATGATCATAAAATTAATTTTAAAAACTATTTTTGTTCCCATCACGCGTTATTCAATTTTTTTTTCATACGTTTTATCTTTCTTTCGATAGGATCTTGTACAATTACTCTTTTAATACGCCCTGTTGGTCTATTTAACTTCTTTAATATTTTGAAAAAAGAAATATTACAAGATGTTTAACTAATTTTTGGTGGGTGGTAATTCTTAACCATGTTCTAACAAAATAAATTGGAGCCCAAACACTTGCAAGTGTTAGCCATGGTTATAAGGCTGATAAAGTATATTATAGTCGTCTTATAATGATATCACTTTTATATATAATTTGAAATACGAGTTTTAATTATTAAGATACACCAACATGATGTAATTAGATGAAATTAATATTTTTCCTTATTTTGCATAAATTTCTTCGATATGAGTAAATAATTGACTCCATTGGTGCATCGATAAGATTTGAAATTTAACCATTTAGATAAAATTTTAACTGTTTATTGCAAAAATAAAATTTTCATTTTCATAAGAAATAATCAATACGATTGATATCTCTCAAGCAATCAATCTGCAATTATATTAATTGTATTGCATAATCTAAAAGCGCAGTCCATTATTCGAAACTTTCAAATGAATGCATTTCTAAATTTTAATCACTTTTAACCAACATTTTTTATAATTTAACTACACAATACAATACAATGTTTGCTTAGATCTTTTTTTTATTATTTTATTAGGAAGAAACGGGTGTTCAATCTTTTCCCAACTAATATCTTTCCAACAGTTTTTGAATTCATAAATTCAAATTAGGATTTTTAGCTAAAACGCGAACGAAATTTTTATTTTTTGCTAATTATAAACAAACTGCTCGTTCTATCGTCTCGCAAAACCAATCAATTTCAGTCCTTACCGAGATTCATGTAGGTAAGGAGGATCTAGAATGTTGATTTTATTCTTATCTTTCATGAAAAAGTATGTGTCTCTGTATGTGCGCCCTTAGCTGTTATGAAAAAGTATGGGTGTGTATTTTTGATCCTTCGTCGGCATTTTCTCAAAAACGGATGGACTGATTTCAAAAATTTATAAACCATTCGATGCAACAAGATGAGGACTATCGTTTGTCGGTTTTGCACGACCATCAGTCGAGCTTTTTTCTTTTAATTAGCGGTAAAGCTTAAAAAATATGCCAAATTTGAACCGATTTGAACAATAGACATTTTTATCACTTTTTGCTCCATATCTCAGAAGCCGCTGGACCTGCCTTTTCCAGAAACTAATCAGCACAATTCCCTATCAATTGGAATCGAATGTATTTTAAATCATTCAAATCGCTTGATCCGTACGCCTGAAAACGTGGACGAAAAATTGTATCCACACATACACACACATACAACAATTTTTTCTGAGATATACCAAATCTTCAGAAACCTTTAAAACGTAAAGATATGCAAAAAATATCAATTTTTAATAACTTACCCTACGGGAAGTTCATAAGAAATTCAATAAACTCCAAAGACCATTTTCTTTTAATTTAATATTTAATTATTTCCTTAGGCAATCTTACACTATTTTTATAGCATTGCACGTGGCGGCTACGTAACAAAGAATTAAAATGTATAAGTACTATCATATAAAAAGATGTACATATTTTTTGCAATCAGATTTAAAAGTCCTTTAAAATGAGTCCACCAACTCGAGACTAGGTCAAAATTTTTCCTACACCTATAGGATTAAATTGTTTTCAGCATATTCTTATCACTGAACATGATTTTAATATCGAATGTCGGCATTTAAACAACGACTAAAAATTCCTTAAACGTACACCCACGCGATAACGGGCCATTATGAAATTCTCACTAATCAATGTTTTATTTGATAAATAGGTAATTCCGAAAAATTAACCATTTTTTTCTTCAAACCGTAACACTTTCCTAAATCGTGTGCCCTAAATCTATTTTAAATAAAGATGATACATTATCTAACTTGAATTTTCAATGTCACGTGGTAAATGATATATAAAATAGATTTTTTTGAGAACTGTTGCAGTGTTTAAGTAGTTTTTAGAATAATTAGTTTGAAAATAATAGTGGATAAATTCACATGCATTAAAAATAACATCATCGTAAATATTTTTTTTATTTTAAAAAAAAAACTAGTGGTGTATGGCAACGTGCCTTCAGGCAAATTGCTAGAACTTCCTGTACCGTAACGAAATGTTCGAGAAATATTAAATGTTTTAGATTATTATAAATACTGTAACTTATATATGTTTACAGAAAAACAAACAAAATTTAATCATTCCAATTTAAAATGAAGGACTTTGTATAATATTTACAAGAATTATATAAACTAAAGTGCAAAGTTAAAATTATTAATTTGAAGTATATAATTGAGCTTTAGAACTTTAGCTTGAAAAAAAAAGAATCGTTGGCGATATTAATTTTTTTTTTAATAAAAAAAATCCAAAATCAATTGTTTCGTCAACACAAGTAGAAAGTTGTTTGAACCATTCAAATTGGATGCTTAGTTCTCTCATAAACTGCCATTCTTTGCACATTTAGCTCTGTATCTCCGAAACCGCTGGACCTGCCTTTGCCAAACACTAATCACCTCTTCTCTCAAATATTACAAATTTAATGTTTTTAGATCATTCAAATCAGGTCTTTCGCTCACTCAAAAACTCGATTTGTATTTTCTGCACTCTTTACTCCTTATCTCCAAAATGGCTGGACCTGCCTTTGCCAAAAACTAATCAGCACATCTCCCAATCTATAAAAATCGAATGATTTTTGAACCATTCAAATCGGTTGATGCGTGCACCCGAAAACGTGGACGAAAAATTGTATTCATACATACATACACACACACATCCATTTTATCTAAGGTTTTGGCATTCCTCATGTTCAGAAACTTTCAAAATGTGAAGCACTGTAAAAATTTTCATTTTCGATTTTAGGCCCTTTACTATAACTACCATACGGGAAGTTAATAATATTTATTTGAGTTTAAGTTTCATTTTTCGTCCAAAAATCGAAAATGAAATTTTTATATATCTTTACGTTTCAGAGGTTTCTGAACATTTTGGCATACCTTAGAAAAAAATTATGTATATGTGTGTACGCGTGTATTTTTTTTATAGCGAAGCAAATGCATTTATGCAACCCAGACTAAGTCTTTTGTCTGGGTAAGCCGGACTCAATACCGTCTAGGAATAATCCCGAGTAAAACCTTCGCTTTGCCCTTGCCTCGTGGGGGAAAGATCTAGAATGTTATCGAAGTCCCATTCGCTATTTTTCTTTCCATAGATCGTAGGTCATGTGTGCCTGTGTGTATATGGGTATGTGTGTATGATATGTGTATGTGTGTGTGTATGTATATGCGGATACATTTTTTGTCGACAATTTCGAGAACATGGTTTAACCGATTTGAATAATTCAAAAATTATTCGATTCCTATTAATAAGGAGACGTGCTGATTAGTTTTTGGCGAGGGCAGGCCCAGCAGTTTTGAAGATATGGGGCAAAAAGTACCAAAAATTATAGTTCAGTTTTTGAGAGAATGGCGTGTCCGATTCGAGTGATTCAAAACACATATTATATGTACTGACAAAACAAAGAAGTGATTAAATTTTTGTTAAGGTAGAACATGCAGTTTCGGAGATCAAATAAAAAATAATAAAAAATAGCCATTTTGCAGTCAAAATTGATCATCAGACATAGTCATCAGATATTTTATAGAGATTTTAATAATTAGTACATATTTTGTTTATATTTCTATGGGTTCCGTATCAATGTTCATTCTCTAGTATGCGACGCGGCTAGTAAAATTTTAATTTTTAGTACGGGAAGTTCTAGCAATTTGCTTGAGACACGAAAATTTCTGAATTCTCTATAATCTAATTTTTTCAAAGTTTTCCAAAAATGTTAATGTGTTTTTAAAAATTTTAATTTTCGGAACGGAAATTTTAGCAAATTCAAAATTCTCAACGATCTAATATTTTCTCAAGTTTTCCAAAATATAAATGTGTTTTTGCAAATTTTAATTTTTGGTACGAAAAGTTCTAGGAATTTGAATTTGTCTTAAGGCGCGATGCCATGCACTATGTTTTATCTATGAATAATTTTAAAATTGTTATTTTATAGAATCAAGTATTTACGTATAAGTTATTTTAAAAACTTTAACATTTTAGTACAAAACAAAATAAATATTAAGTATTTTTCTAAGAAATGCATTTTCCATAGTGGTAGCAAAAAATATTCATAAATTACCAGATTTTTGTAACTTTGAAATTATTTAATTATTTCATTAATAAATCATTAAACTAATAAAAATCCATATACCTACAATTATCTATTCAAAAACCACGTGCAAATATAAAAAACAAACAAGATAAACATAAATTTTAAAAGGATTCCCACTAAAATTAACGATAATTATAAAATTAACAAGAAATAATTTTAAAAATATTTGGAATAAATGAATTTATTCATATAGCCAAAGTGTAATGAATAAACAATAAGTGCATATATTTATGTAAAAGCACTATTATATATTTAAATTAATGGAATATTTGTAAAAACAAATGTATTTACCAGTAATTTTATACGAACAAGAATCACAGTTCTTATATTGTTCCTGTTCCTATAGGAAATGAATTAAAACATTAAAATTATTGTTATAGGTTTAGGTGTTTTCTAAATTAGTGCATTAAAAGACTATTCAAATTATATAAAAATGTTTTGGATTCCATCAGCAATATTGTGTTTCATTTTAATCGCAACTCTTGTTAAAAATTATGATGCAAAATTGCGATATGCAGAGTGGACGTCCAAATTACCAAATGAGATTTCAATAGATGATGATAGCTACATCAAGCAGAAAGGACAGCAGCTCACATTTGCATTTCCTGGTAATATATAGTTGATATAAATTCAAATATTCAAATAACCAAATCTGTTTCTGTTAAATAATTGGCTTCGTTTTTCATCTCCCTCATTTGATCAACTTTTCATCTATTGGAGTGGTGAAGGTCTTAGATACGTAGCAAAAATGCAACCACGTCATATTAGTGTGCGACGTAACCGTTACGTTTTTGCCCGCGAAATAGATACTACTGTGTGTCTTCCAGGGTACGTACCTGTACGTACGGATTTGGCGGCGCTACGCAACATTTATGGCTTTTTTTACGTGGCTGGGTAATAATACAAGTTCGATTGGATAACAATATGTGTCCAATATTAGCTCTGGATCAGGCTAAAAAAATACTATTAACAAAATACCATTAACCAGCACTAGATCACCATCAAATTTGCTAATAACATGCTTCAAAAAATTGTTGTCTAAAAAGCAGTGCTTCAGTTTAAAATCTAATCCAGGACTAGAAGATATGGTTATTTCACAAAGACTCATAAAAATCACAAAGGACTTACTTTTTCCAAAAAAATATCAGGATTTTTTGTCAAAATAAAATCCTTCCTCTCATTTTTACCTATTATCATCATTTACCCTCTGGCTGGTCTATCTGTTTTATTTAAAAACAAAGTTTCATCTATTGGAGTGATGGAAGGTCATTTGTGATAACAATCAAATGTATTCTTAACTTTAATTGGATAACAATATGTATTTATTATGAACTAAATAAGATCGTCATCTAATAGTACGAGATTACCATCAAATTCCCTAATAACATGCTTCAAAAAATAGTTGACTAAAAAGCAGTGCTTCAGTTCAAAGTTTAATCCCGGGACTAGGAAATATGGTTATTTATAAAAATAATCAATAAAACCAGAAGGAACTTGTTTTTTCCAAAAAATATTAGGATTTGTTGTCAAAAGCATACCCTCACTTTCTTTTTTACCTATTATCATCATTTATTTTCTGGTTGGTTTATCTGGTTTATCTCAAAACTACTGTCAATGCCAAATTATATAGTCAATTAATTCTTTATTTGTATTTCTTTAGTTTTACTTGTGGTCGTTTTAGGATAGTGCAAAAATTATTGTCAAAAATCTTCAATTGTGGAATGACTTTTCTATTTTTCCATGTCTATTTTAATTCTGTTATCTACTATTTACAAAGAAGTCTATTTAGTCTATCTGTAAAGTTGTCTAAAATCTTCAATTATCTTTGGCCATTTATCAAAATTCATTTTTCTCCACATTTTTCTCTTAACTTACGTTTTCTAGAATTGTATTGTTAGAATGCCTTTTATAACTTTATCCATGAATTTATCCATGTCCATTTTAATTCTGTTATCTACTATTTACGAAGTAGTCTATCTAGTTGTAAAAATTGTCTAAAACCTTTAATTATCTTTGGCCAATCATCAAAATTCATTTGTCTCGATTCAGCGACTTCAAATCCACAAGATGGAACAATCGAATATAGTTAACTCGCGTTTTCCAGAATAGTTTTGTTAGCACGCTTTTTCTCTTTATCTATGTCTATTTTAATTCTGTTATCTATAATTGTTATTTTTCAGGTACAAAATGGTGTGGTCCAGGAAACACGGCATCGAGTTACGAAGATTTGGGGATCGAACGAGAAACTGATAAATGCTGCAGGGCTCATGATAATTGTGATAATATACCGGCAGGAGAAACTAAGAACAATCTTACTAATAATGGAATGTTCACAAGGTAATAATAATAATAATATTATATGGTTGTCTGTCCGAAGACAGGTCTATGGTCTGAGAGCATCACAAAGTGAAGAATTCCTTTCCCATTCCTTGTTAATCATCACTATAGTTGTTCCATGGCGTAATAGTTAAGCGCGCTGCCTTGTATCGACAAGAGCGTGAGATTAAACATCGCTATAGACAACCTGATATCAAGCATTAGTAAACTGCACTACTAGTAATATCATTTTTCACTTGAAAGCATATTACCAATTGAAAATAACTCATTTCGGGCACTGCATTGTGAAATGGAAATAAGAAATTTCTTAGACTATTTTGCCCTGAATCGAGTTGGAGTTTATATAACTCAGCTCACGGCCCTGCCCTTGGTCTGGATAAATTTGACAATTCGTCAATAAAATTATGAAAGGTTTATTCCATTTTACCAAGTGATTAAAATAAAATTCCCGATGACAAAAGTGTAATAATTCCACATCTAATTTAAAGCTATAACAGTAAAAAATTAATAAATAAGTCTTGCAATTTAAATACATTTGTTGTTTTTAAGAGCTTATAATTTACCCTTACCCAATCCCAATTACCCAATTATGCATATAGCATATATTACTATACATTATTATTTTTTGCATAAAATATTTCATTTTTAATATGCTAAACATTGCTAATACAAATTATGTAATTGCGAATGCTAATTTATTGATATATAGAGTGAAATTAAAATAAACAAAAAATACAATGTATGCATAGACATAAATATTTCTTAAACCACTAAAAACTAGCCATGTATGGCATTGTGCCTTAAGGCAAATTACTGGAACTTCCCGTATCGTAACGAAATGTTCGAGGAATATTAAATGTCTTCAAATAGATTATTATAAATACTGTAACATTGCCTAATATTTATAACAATTATATAAACGATTCTAAATTTTAGAGTACATAAGTGATCTTTAGAACTTTAGCCAGAATCAAAATTAAAATCTGAATTTTTGAAAAAAAAAATAAAAATTGTTTTTCCAAAAACAATTGTTTTGTCAACACAAGCAAAAAGTTTTTTGATTCATTCAAATCAAATTCTTAGTTCTCTCAAAAACTGCAATTTTTTGCACATTTAGCTTCGTATCTCCAAAACGGCTGGACCTGCCTTTGCCAAAAACTAATAACCACTTCTCCCCATCATTACAAATTGAATATTTTTTTAATCATTTAAATCGGATACTCCGTTCTCTCAAAAGCTCGTTTTCTATTTTCTGCATTCTTTGCTCCGTATCTCCGTAATGGCTGGACCTGCATTTGCCAACAACTAATCAGCATAGGAATCGATTGTTCTTTGAATCACTCAATCGATTGTTCCGTACGCCCGAAATCGTCGACGAAAAATTGTATTCATACACACACATCTATTTTTTCTGATGTAAGCCAAAATGTTCAGAAACCTCTGAAACGACATGCAAAAATTTCCATTTTCGATTTTTGGACAATTACAATAATTGACCCTGCGGAAAGTTAATAGAATCAATTATTATTACAATTATTATTATTATTACATTGAATCATTTATTTTATAGGTTGCACTGCGATTGCGATCACGAATTTTACGATTGCCTAAAAGCAGCAAAATCAATGGTGTCCAACGAGATGGGCTTCTTATATTTTAACACCATCCACACATATTGCTATATGGAGGAGCACCCGATCAAAGGATGCCATACTCGGAGACAATGGTAAAAGTCTAATAAATAGAATTATAAATATAATTGATGTTGAAATAGTCATGCTAATAAACTGATTGTACACTTTATACCTAACTGCAAACTTGATTAACAATCAACATTTGATATAAGAACCCCCAGGTAATGATAAACGTTTATTTGTAATTTTTGCCATTTATTTCTACAATATTACTATAGTTTTATTGTTCATTAAATTTTAAAAATTTCCTTTGACAAACTCTAAAAAGAATTATCAAAATCCGAATAACCGTTTAGGAGATAGAAGTATCAAATCATACACCCGTACAGAAGAATTTTATATATATAAGATATATTAAATAAATCAATGACAACTCTATCAAATAATTCCCCTTAATCTCATTAAACTTTACTTGACTTAGACAAAATTGATATTTAGGTGACGGTTCTCTTAGTAGACGAATATATTTACCAAACTTAACAATATTGACCCTTTCCACTCGCTAATTGCGAGATTTATATATTTTGTCCCAGGAGCGGCGGCATCCGAGTAGAAAAGGTTAAGTTATTAATTAAATACAGAAGACTTGTTTTTGTTAATACATTATGCTTGATAATAATATTTGTTGTTACTAATTTAGGTTTCTCCAAAGAAGATGTGTGGAGTACGATTTTGATACAAGTCAACCTAAAAAATGGCAATGGTTCGATTTGCCCATATGGAAATAGATCAAATCATATTTATTTATGATGATTATAAGTTAAGAAATCGAATCTCATATTACGATAGAATTTAAATTATTCTAAGGGACCGATTCGGTCGCACAACAGATCAAAGTTATGGCAAGGCCATGTTTCGCTCAAACTTCCATACATAATGCTACTGATTCATACTGTCGAAATGTCTTGTATTTGCTGTGCATTCAGGTTTTTCTCACACAAACTGCAACGTCACTCGTATGTTATGAAGTTGGGTCAGAAAGACCATGTTACCTAAAATCGTTTTTTGACATTTGTGCGGTTTCTAGGTTAGATTTTCTGACAACCTGAGAACAACGCCTGACTGCACAAAAACCACATGGCTTTTGCCAATATTTTGTATGGGAAGTTCTTTATAAAATAGCCTTGCCATAACATTGGTCTGTTATGCGGCAGAATCGGTCCCTAAATATAATAAATTAAGAATATTATCAATAATAGAACTTTTATTATCAATAGGGAAAAGATAAGTTATAGTAATTTTATATATGACTGCCATCGTATTGAAAAAGTCTTCTTTTGGCACGTAAGTTTTATTTAAAAAGTCGACGATGAAATCAGAATAAAATAGTGATTTTTATCGTAATGATGTTGCGAATAAAATTAATTAGAGAAAATAAAGCAAACGACTTAATTGTCTAAAATAAATCTTGTTTTCAATCACACATTTTACCAAAAACTTCAGGAATTGTTATTTTAGTAGAAATTTAAATATAAAATCGGTAAACCGATGATTACGTTTATTCCAATTGCTATTTATTCATATTTATTGTTATAATAAAATATTTTACTAATCCCATGAAAATATGTATGTTTAAAAAACCGTGATCAATTTAATATAATGAATAAAAATATATATAATAAAATATACGAAATTTGTGTTAAGTTATTGTTATAAAATATATAGATAATTATTTAATAATTTTAATTTTATGTAATGATAAGAACATGTTTCCGGGCACCTGTATCTGAATTGTTATTTTGAAGCACAGTATTATTATAAATAAAATTTTATTAATTAATAATAAAAATGTAAGAAAACTATGGATTTTTTACTGAATATACTTATACCAACATTTAACATTGAAATAATACATTACTTTTGTATGTGTAACCAACATTTTCTAAGGCAGAATTAAACTGAGATTAGTTGAATCATTAAGTCATTAGATTAATTGAATCATAATTTTGCATTAATTTAATCAAGCTTTAACTATTTTAATAAGCAATGTTGGTCTAAGCACACATTTACACAACTATGTCAAACTTAGAATAAAAACCACAAGTTTAAATGAAATTACCTTAGGTAGATACAAAATTTTAAACCAAAAAGTAATTAAAGAGCTTCCCGTAGGGTGAGTTATAGTAATCGCAAAAAAATCGAAAATGAAAATGTTTGCATATCTTCACGTTTCAAGAGTTTCTGAATATTTTGGGATACCTTAGAAAAAATGGATGTATGTGAGTGTGTGCGGATACAAATTTTCGTCGACGATTTCGGTAACACAGGTCAACCGATTTGAATGATTCAGAAAACATTTGATTCGTATTGATAGGGAGACGTGCTGATTAGTTTTTGGCAAAGGCAGGTCGAGCTATTTCGAAGATACAGAGAGATTAGAATCTTAATAGTAAATGTTTCTCATTCCTCTTTTGTTTCTTACACCCCGCATCCACTCACTCTACCGCACATGCCGCGTATCTTTGAATTCATTTGTGTTACTATGCACAGCGAGAGAACAGCACACAATATTAGGAGGGCAATATGTGCTCCTTTAGTTTCTCATTTTATTAATTATTATTAGTTATGATGTTCTTTAGCACAAGTTTAGTGTTTAATAAATTGTATATAATTTTTTTTGTGTTTTTCCTGGTTTGGTATGTATATAATTTTCTCCTTTTTATATTTTTATATTTAATATCAACTATTGTTATTTATGTAATATGTTGTTTAGATTACTGAATGATGACGCACATTAAGAGTCAAAACGCTTAATATAATGAAAACTATTCTATTTAAATCTATTTTTAATTCGACGATAGGGCTGCAAAATACTTTACATATATATATATATATATATATATATATATATTAAATTCTCAGAAACCCTATATGTGATATCATGAAGTTTATTGTTATAAATAATTTAAAATACATTAAGATTTTGCATACATATACATATATAAAGTACTAAATGCTAAGTTTGCAATTGTGCAAATTTGAACACATTTTTTTTAAAGAACCTTATAATGAGATGCAATCTCAATCATAAAACAAATGTACAATTTACAACTTACTATAATAAATGTACAAGATTCTGTATATACATATAAAAATAGTGTTAAAAATATACATATTTGTATTTGATATTTAAAAGTGATGTAGAAAAACCTGTCATGAATTCATTGTAAAAATATTTGCACGTTTATTACTAAACTAAACTGGTGAGCATTTGGAATATATCAAATCACATTGACAATAAGCTGATGCAGAGAAATTAAAAAAGCACTAATTTTCTATTTTTCATGTCAAGTTTTAAAAATAATCTAATTTTTGTCAAATCTAAAATACGACTTGTTTTTAATAAACATAATTTTACCATATTTAACTTCAGAAATTGTTCTTTAGTCGTAATTTTAATATAATATCAGTAATAAAATTGCTGTTAGTTTATATTTGTTGTAATAATAAATTATTTAATTAACTCGATAAAAATATTTAGAGTTAAGTTACTGTTACAAAATATATAGATAGAAATTTCAATTTTATGTAATAAGAAGAATAGTTTTTCAGGCACTTGTTTTCGATTGGTTATTTTGGAGGCACAGTATAAATGAAAATTTGTTAATAAATATTAAATATGGAAGAAAACCATATACAAATGATTTTGATACTGTTAAAAGGGTGATCTACCATTTACAATCGTTTTGTCTACCTATCGAGGTAAAAAAAATGAATTAAAATGTGATGAGAGTTTAAAATATACTAAGTAGATATCAAAATAAATAGTTTCATAATTTGCAAATTGTATTGGACTAAAAATATTCATATTGTAGATCATGCAGCATTTGTTATTAATTCTTAAATAATAAAATTTATTAGTTGTATCAGTTTTAATCTGTGGTTGCAGGATGAGTTTAATAGCCAAATTTTAACCAAATAAATTATGGACACATTAGGATTAGGTCAAAAGGAATCAAGAGTATTAAGACATCCTAATAAAAATATTAATTACCAAATATTGAAAACAATTTTAATTTTTAGAAATAAATGGGCAATTCTGCCGTAACAAAACTTATAAAATAGCATTGTCATGGCGACGCTCTCTTATGCTTGTTTTTGGTATTGGGAATTATAAAAATGTCTATCTACTTGCTGTGCGATCAGGCATATTTTACATAAAAACAAGCAAGAAAAAATCTTATGATAGCATAATCTTCGATGAAACAGTTATCATAACATTCTCCCTCTTTTGTTTTAATGTAAAATACGCCTGATCGCACAGCAAATAAATAGACATTTTCATAATATTCAATACCAAGAACAAGCATAAGAGAGCGTTGCCATGACAACGCTAATTTATAAGCTCTGTTACGGCAGAATTGCCCCATAAATACCTATAAAAGTTCAGAAACTTAAATATTTTTTTAGTGTAAGTACACCAACATTTAGCATTGAAGAAATACATTTAATGCATGTATAACAAGTTTTAAATTTAGCTTTAAATTGTATCATAATTTTAATTAAGTTTTAACAAATTTAATTAACAATTTTCATCTTAGACACACGTAGTATTGTACAACAAACAAATAAATAATAATGAAGACTTCAAATGGAAAGTAAATGAAAAAAAAGACTTAATTAGATAATTTCAACAATTAAATTAATAATACTAATTTTAAAGGATATAAATATAGTCAACGATTAAAATGGGCTACACAAAAGAATCTATTTTTTTCTACAAAAAGTAAAATCCAGAATAATATCAAAATGAATACTGTTGAAGAAAGTGGTCAACAAGCAATCACAAAAAATAAAATAATTTTCCATCAGTAATTTGTCTTTGTACGATACAAAATTATCAAAAGACTAGCACCGTTTTAAAAATTATTATAGGAACCCACAATGATTTATAACATTCATTCCACTACCACAGAAATATTAATTAAAATCTGTTCATAATTTCAAAAGGAACCCCAAAAGTGTTAAATATGAATTACTAACAATTTTGGTAAACAGCATAGTTAAAAATAATGTTTAAGTTATCAAGTACATAAAATTACAGAAAGTGATGCGTTTAATAACTAAGTTACATTTAATAACCCTGTCGTGTGGGTGTTGTAACTTTGGATTCTGGTCTAACACCTTGCGCACTTTGACCCATTCTGATAGCTTTGAATTTCAAGAATGCATCGTATCCATATAGAACCATCGCACAGAAACCAAAGAACTAGAATAAATATAATTCATACACATTGGGCAAGGAAAAAATCTCAATCAGTAGATTATATTTTCCATTTACTCTTATAATATTTTATCAACTTACTATTTAATATTTAGTCATAATTGAAAATTCATATCTCATGCATTGACCAATGGAATGAAAAATATTTTGTTTTAATAAAGTTTACAAGAAATATTTTGAATAATTTTGCTTATGATAGACAGAACCCAATTTTGTTCTATATGTTATTAGAAAAAATATTGTTATCCACTTACCGCTGCAGCTGCAAATGCTTCATAATATGATCCATGTGCAGCAGCTAAGGATGCTGCTAACAAGTAGAAAAATGTCCATAAACCGTTAAACACAAACTCTATTTTGAGCCAAGGAATTTGGTAGAATTTCTCAACTATGTGAAAAGTGTATAAAATCAGCATAATTCCCGTAAACCAAAATGCTGTCATAGACACAGTGTTGAACCATGCACCTCTTGATGTATATGATGCATTGGAAACTTCGATACAAATAAATCCAAGCAAATTTAAAGCCTGAAATAGATAAATAAGATGTATTAATGGACAAAGTAAATCATGCTAATGCAACGAAAAAGCATTACGTTAGTTGTGTGCCAACAATTCGTCATTCGCTCTCAATGATATCATTTCTATACGGGTCGATTGCGATTGGACGTCGTGTCGCGTGAGTATGATTGCTTTGATTGTATAATGAAAATAAAAAAACAAATGAGAAATCTATGCCGTGTAAGAAACGGAAAAGTTATTTTTATAGGCAAAACACATACTACAGCTGCTCAAAGAATGAGACTGTATCGCCTGCGGAAAAGTAAAAAAAAAAACAAGCAGTCAATGAATGTGTGTTAATTTTAATTACATGATGAGTGAAATTGTGTAAACAATATCTATTTAGGCCAGGGCTTCTTAAACTTTTTTATATAGCGACCCCCCTCAAGCTTAGGAAATTTTAAACGACCCCCTCCTCCAAATAATAAAATATATTGGAAACGTTGACATAAAACTATATATATATATATATATATATATATATATATATATATTTAATACAAAAAATAAACTTTTGTAACAAATTCTTTATAAAAAACATAAAACTATATCTACATATTCAATAGAAAAAATAAACTTTTGTAACATTTTTTTATGAAAACCTATTTCTAACATCAATCAATATTAATGTGATGAATGTGATTGTTTATTTTTACACAAATAATTAAATCTAGGCTCAATTTAAGTTAGTGCAGATCATAATAAATTTTCAACGTTTATTAAAGTTATTGGAAACGTATTTTGATTTTATTTAAGTTAATGTAGAAAAGGCTGATTCACATAAATATGTTGCACAAAATGGCAGTAATTTGTTTATTGCCATTTCCGACAGTAGGGAATATTCTGATTTGATTTCAATCCAAAATTCATGCACACGCACTTGAGAAAATCTGAGTCGCAAGGTAGTATCACTTGCTAATTCGGTAAATTCTTCTTGTGCTTTTAAGTTTAAAAAATTAAATTCTTCCATTTCAATTGAAAATGGATTGCAAATAGCATAGTTTGAGAAGCCATAAATTATCGTGAAAATAGTCGACCTAATTTTAAAATTTTGTTTATAATGATTGAAACCTTTGCGACCCCATTTTAGTAGTCTCGCGACCCCCATGGGGGTCGCGACCCCCACTTTAAGAAGCCCTGATTTAGGCAATGATTAACATAATAATTCTCTGCATTTTTATAGATATTAAAAAATATTAAAGCAATACATCTTTATTCTATCATGATCTGATCATGAAGATATATCTTACGCAGAATTATATCTCAGGCACTTTTGGAAGTTTAGTGGAAGTCTACATGTTTTTCGTTTATGATGGCTATTAAGTATTACAAAGTTGCATATTTTTATAAACAATGAAAAATAAATTGATATTCAGATTTATTACTCTAAAGAAGAGATCAAGCACAACAATAGTTTATGTAGCTGTGTATCAATTATATACAGATATAGTTCGTAATGGACATCTATGCATTTTATGTAAATTAAATTATTCAAGATTGTTTTAAATTCACTGTTTGAACAAATATTATAGAATTTATTAATCAGCAATTACTTCATATCTCTAATAAAGTGTGACTTAAATTACATTAATATTTTCAAATATTATAAATATTTTTAATGCTATTATAAATATATAATTTATAATTTATCATTATATAAATGTGTATAATGGTTGACACTAATAAATGTGTGCATCACGAGTGTTACCATATTACTAATAAACATTGTTCAAAATTGTTATATGATGTATTTATTTTTACTTAAATGTCATCTCGTAAAATAGCAAAAAATTTTTACTTCAATCGCTTGTAAACCTTATGCACACTTTTTTTTTTTAATACTTCACATAAAGCTTTCAATTGTTTAGATCCAATTGTTACTATTTACAATTAAATATATTTCACAATAAGTATTTTTATAAAGTGTTGAAATATATTTTTTGAGGTTAAGTTTTAAATTGATGAGACAATACATCATAATTTAGTACTTTATGAAATAAAGTTAGTCCAACTTAATAAACATCATTTTAACTTACAATTTGTGCAACTTTCAGTACACCATCGGGAATAGTCCTTATGTAAAATTTATCGAATCGAACAATATTTGTGGTTGTGGTTGTTGGATCATTTGCAGCTTCCACCGACATTTTGAACCTATTATAGAATACACTTCATTTAGCAAAATTTTAATTAGAAATAAACAAATTTCATGAGTTTTTATTAAATATTACTTTGCTCAGTTTACATATAAATATTTATTATGCATAATGTGTATGTATAAATTGTTAATATTACATTTTTTAAAAGATCTTTGAAATATCTAAATGATGACTACATGTTATGTTAAACTAATGTTTAAAATAATTATGATCTCATAAAGCAATCATATAAAAAAGTGTTAATTACCTTTTGTATTTCTTAATACCAAATTTCGTTCGGTTTTTAGGCAAATCAATAACCTCAAGTATTTCTCAAAACTAAATCAATACAAATGATGTCAACAAAACTTACTTTTAATTAATTCCACTAAAGAATTCTTAGGCGTACACTCCTCTAACCTGAACAGTTGACGCCCCTTCAAAGAATTTCGATATTGATATAAAACAGTCACTAGAATTGTTAACTGTGAATTATTAGAGAACTGATATTTTGCCAACAACTGTTTAATTAAATATCACAACGCATTTAAAATAAATCAAACGGTGCTTTCGAATTAGAGCCAATTTGCATAATTAAGAAATCAGTTTGACAGGTTGACAGTTGCTAAGAGAAAAGTGTTAGACAACGTGAAGTTAGGAGAAGGACAAGTTTGATTTGAACGCGGAATCCAAATTGTTATTTTGAAATAATTAATTTATGGTACAAAAACAAGAAATATTGTTTGTTACTGGCGAAATATATACATTTCGGGTTAAGAAAGTTATATTTATATTTACATTTATATCAAAAATTACATTTTATCTTTTTGAATACTCTACTGTTATGATCAAACTTCATGGGGTTCACACAGCGAACTGTCAAAACTGTCAAAACATTTTTTAAATTAATCGCAATGTTGATATACAAAAAGCAATAAAAGTTAGTTTATAATAGACAAGTAGAAAGAGCTTAGTGGAATTAATTTACCAACAGAATAGGATATTTTAAGGTACTTACTTTTATGCACTATTATGCATATAACATTTTCTAAACAAGTTGATTGAAACTTGGGTTAAACTTAATACTGAATTATAGAAACTTGATTGAATTGAACATTTTGCTAGTATCTTTCACTTACAATTCAAGAAGAAACTATTATTTCTTTTTGATCCATTTTTGAAAATTTGAATGTTTTCATTATGGATCAACATGACGAAAGAAAATCTGTGATACCAGATTTCCCAACAAAAACTGAAGACACAGTACCCATGTCCATCAAAATAGAAACAACTACTGATATTCCTGATGGCAATCCCTCAGCAGGAGCATCTAATCTTAGATCCTCGTTGGGTATATCATACACACCATACACTCCTAATTCCATGTTTACAAGATTTGCCATGACCTGTGACAAATTTGGTATCAAAGATGATGTGGCTGCAGCAATGGCAACAGCAATTATGAAAGACTTTGGCGTCAAAGCTAGGGGAGGCCGCCCTGCCATTGTGACTAAATCAAAGGTTCACCAATGGAAATTAAAATGTAGACAAGCTGTTATAAGTAAAAGATTTGATGCTTCCACTTTACTAGCATTTTCATTCCATATCAAAAAAACTGATTCCATAACCCACTTAGCTGTAGTAAAGGAACCAAATTCGCAATTATTAGGTTACATAAAATTAGCGAATGAAGATGCAGAAAATAAAGTCAACAAAATAAACAGTTTTTTTACCCAAAAAGAAATTTTACTCGATTCTTTGATTGGCATTTGTTGTGATGGAGAACCTACAAACACCGATGCAAGCAATGGAATTTTGCGTCGGTTTGAAATTCAATTAAAGAGACCACTACATTGGTTCGTGTGCCTTCTCCATCTTAACGACCTTTCTTTTTGGCATCTGTTTGACTATTTAAAAACATCAACCAGAAAAAGACCTGGACAGCTGAGTAACCAAATGGAAACCTGTGAAAATATAGCGGTATGTAATTGTTGTCACTGTTACAAGGTGGTACCCTGGCATACAAGTTTAATTTTTTCCTTAAAAGCAGCAAATAATTTTATGCATAAGTTTAAAAAAAATAATGTATATGCAATTTTGGACTTATTGCAGTTATTTATTAATCTGAATTATATAATTTCATCTGCCAAACATATACTGTTGACTGTATCTTATATTATTTGAAGTTCTGGCACATATAAGCTGCTTTTCGGCAATAATAATGCAGGCATTACATTTTTCTTGTATATTATATTCTAATATTATCTAGGCTTGTAATTTCAGCTAAATTCAAATTTCAAGTGAATTGGCATTTCTAGCAAATGTTTTCAATGTCCAACGATAAGTGTTTTTTTTGTAATTTTTGCCATTTATTTCTACAATATTACTACGGTTTTATCGTTCATTAAATCTCAAAAATTTCCTTTGACTAACTGTAAACAGAATTATCAAAATCAGAATAACCATTTAGGAGAAATATCAAATCATACACTGAGCTGAAAGATCGTACAGCTTGAAGGTTTTTTTTTTGTTTAGCGAAGGAAACACATTTAAACATCCCAGACTAGGTCTGTTGTCTGGGTGTGTCGTACTCAATACCACTTGGGTATAATACCGACTAAAACCTCCGCTGTGCCCTTGCATCTGGGCTTACGGAAACCGCCGTTAAGTATTACTTCGTGGGGGGAGGATCTAGAATGTTATTATTCTTGCACTGAAATTAGAAACTTGGAGTTTTTGAGAGAACTAAGAATCCGATTTGAATTATTCAAAAAACTTTCTGCTTGTGTTGACAAAACAATTGCGTTTGAAAAAAAACTTATTTAATTTTTTTTTTGCAAAAAAATTTTTTTTTATATCTAAAATAATTCAGATTTTAATTTTAATTCTGGCTGAAGTTCTAAAGCTCACTTATATACTTTAAACAAATAATTTTAACTTTGCAATTCAGTTTATATAATTCTTATAAATATTAGACAATGTTACAGTATTTATTTATAATAATCTATTTGAAAACATTTAATATTCTTCAAACATTTCGTTACGCTGCGGGAAGTTCCAGCAGTTTGCCTTAAGGCACGATGCCATACACGACTAGTTAACTTCCCGTAGGGCAAGTTATAGTAATCGCAAAAAAATCAAAATTGAAAATTTTTATACATCTTTACGTTTCAGAGGTTTCTGAACATTTTGGCATACCTTAGAAAAAATGCATGTATGTGTGTGTGTGTGTGTGTATTTACGTGTGTGTATGTATGTGCGGATACAAATTTTCGTCGACGATTTCGGGAACACGGATCAACCGATTTGAATAATTCAAAAAACATTCGATTCGTATTGATAAGGAAACGTGCTGATTAGTTTTTGGCAAAGGCAGGTCCAGCCGTTCCAAAGATACGGGGCAAAAAGTGCCGAAAACGGTAACTCAGTTTTTAAGAGAACGGAGCGTCCGATTTGAATAATTCAAAAAACATTTCACTTGTATTGACAAGATGAAGAATTCGATAAAATTTTCCTGAAGGTAGGTCTAGCGGTTTCGGAGATATGGAGGAAAAAGTAAAAAAATGAGCCATTTGACGGTCAAAAATGATCATTAGACATATGCACATCAAATTATCAGATATTTTATAGAGATTTCAACAATAAGTATACATTTTGTTAACATTCCTATGGGTTCCGTACCAATGCTTATGCGTCATTCAGCGACGCGGCGCTTACGCGCTTTATATTTTGTCCCAATGCAGTTGAAGCAGTACGATTGCTTTGAAAAAAAAGTTTAGATCTTCCACAATATGTCAAAATAAAGAAAAAAAAATTTTTTTTTTTTAAAAAAAATTTTTTTTTTTTCAAAAAAAAGTAATTTTTTGTCCATTTTTTAGTTTCTGAAAAATCTTATTTTTTCAATGTAAATTTTTTTCAAAAATCGTTTTTAAAAAAAAAATAATTTTTGGTACGGGAATTCCCAGAAATTTGCCTTAAGGCACGATGCCATAATTGCCTTAAGACAGAATTCCACTTACAGCTAGTTTTCATTTTACCATTAAACTTTTTTGAGAAAACTTACAGGCTTGTAAATCAAATTATGAACTCGTAAGTCGGGGTACCATTAAAATACTAAATAATACAATTATTGACCTACTTTTTTATATTTTAGCCTGTAACAAATTTTGTACCAATCCCTCTCGAAAATGTAGCTGATTTGAGTGTTGATGAATCCACAACCGACTCAAATTATTTGCTAAAAATTGCCAAGGCTGTTTCTTCTGGTGAGGTTTCCAAGGATTTGGCTGAAGTTAAACCTGGATCAATCGCACATCCTCGCATGATCACAACAGTCAGCCGATTGTTACGGTTATATGTGACAACTGATGAACCATCAAATACTTTAAAAACATTGGTGCAATATATAATGAAGGTGTTTGTTCCAATGTATTTTAATGTCAAGTGTTATAATTCGGTGGTGTATGGTAGTGTACTATTGTACAAATTCATATGCTGGGCCCAATATTTGGATTTGAATTTGAAGCAAATTGTACATAATGTTATCACACAAAACGCGTACTACGCTCACCCTGAAAACATTTTATTAACAATGCTGTTTGACGATAGGAAAGAGACCCGGGATTTAGCCATACAAAAGATTTTATACTACCGTAAATATGTGGAGGAACCTTTGGAATTGAGAGCTTATAAAATACCAAGTATAAACTTCAACTGCACAGACTACACGGATATGATTGACTTGAATGATAGTTCAAACTTATTCGAACCACCATTTACTGTAAACATACCTTATGAACACCTGGAACAATATATGGAAAAACCTGAACCACCTTTGGTTAATCCAATGATTCCACTGCACATACTAGAAACAGAAAGACATGTTGAATTGCTGGCTTGTGGATCAAAAAAAGTATTAGATGATAATGGACAATTAGAAAGTTGTGAGAAACTTCCTAAGCTTGAATGAAATAAAGACTTAGGGACCGATTCTGCCTCCAACAGACCAATGTTATGACAAGGCCATGTTACATGCATTATGCTACTGAATCATACTGAATACTGTCACAATGTCATGTATTTGCTGTGCATTTAGGTGTTTTACACATAAACTGCAACATCACTCGTATGTTATGAAGCTGGGTCAGAAAGACCCTGTTATTTTTTTTTACATTTGTGCAGTTTCTAGGTGAGGTTTCTTATCTGATTATCTGACGCCTGACTGCACAGCAACCACATGGTTTTTGTCAATATTTAGTATGGAAAGCTCTTCATAACATGGCATTGCCATAACATTTTCCTGTTATGGGGCAGAATCAGTCCTTTAATATTGAAGCAAGTTACACATGATATTGCTGCTTGAAGTTCACTTTCATGGCTGAAAAATTTACCTACCTGATATACAACACAAATAATCAATTTGATGATTTATTGATGATCCAATTTTGAGGAACTATCTGAAACATAAAACATAGTTTTATACCTCATTAATATTTTATGTTTGAAAAACTCTAATTTAAGTGTCAGAATTTATTTTTATTTACAATTATATATCTATAAATATAATGTTAAAAATACATAACTTTTATATTTTTACACATGGCATTATAATTCAATTTTATACAATCGAAAAATATTTAAACTATGCATAATATCTTTGTGCTTTTTAAAGCTAATTTCAGGAAACCTATTACTAGATAAAATAATTAATTCCTAAATTAGAGAAGAATTAAAATACTTAGTATGTGCAATTTTATAATATAAATTTCATTATTTGTTAATAACCAGTTAACTGTGATTCACAAATAGACTCGCCATAAAGATTTTCATTAAATTTATTCAGTTTTTAGTTTATTACGTATGTAATATATGTTTTTGTTAAGAAGTAAAATATAGTAGTCAAATTTTTCAATTTTGTAAATAAAACTAATATTTTTAACTTTTAATTTTTAAACAAAGTTTTGACCGTTTTATTTTTTCAAATATTTAAACATATCTATCCATGGATTTTTAAACAAAGTTTGGACGTTAGTTGAGTGAGTTATAGTAATCTTCACGTTTCAAAGGTTTCTGAACATTTTGGCATACCTCAGAAAAAATCGATGTGTGTGTGCGTATGTATGTATGAATACAATATTTCGTCCACGTTTTCGGGCGCATGGATCAACCGATTTGAATGGTTGAAACAACATTCGATTCCTATTGATAGGGAGATGTGCTGATTAGTTTTTGGCAAAGGCAGGTCCAGCCGTTACGGAGATACGGGGCAAAACGTGCCAAAAATAGAAATCGAGTTTTTGAGAGAACGGAGTATCCGATTTGAATGATTCAAAAAACATTTTACTTGTGTTGACCAAATGAAGAATTGATTGGATTTTTGGTTAGGCAGGTCTGGCGGTTTCGGAGATACAGATGAAAATGTAAAAAAAATGATATTTGACATAGGCACATCAAATTATCAGATATTTTATAGATATTTTAACAAGAAATTTTTTTTTACAATTTTTTGGGTTCCGTACCAAAATTTTTAGTTTTTAAAGTTCACTTATACGATTCAAACAAATTTCAAAATGTTCAGAATTTAAAAATATACAAAATGTTTTATACTTTAAATATAAATTTTAAATTTACAGTTCAGTTTAAAAATGTATATATTTCATATGCGTTAACGCATAGAATAATTATTCTACAAGAAATATATCCTCAAATGGATTCATTCGGCATCTCTTGTTAATGTAAACATTTTCAAGTGTTTTGAGCAATAAGATTGCCACTGTATAATATACGACCGAATGAATATATAGTAATTATAATTATCTATTTAAAAGCATGTAAAATGATTGTTATTAATCATTGATCAATATTTATTGATTATAATCAATAAATATTGATCAATGATTAATAACAAGAGAGAACTTCCCGTACCACAATTAAATATTCGAGCAAAAAACAATTAATAATTATTAATTGTTTTTTGCTCGAATATTTAATTGTGGTACGGGAAGTTCTAGCAATTTGCCTTAAGGCATGATGCCATGCACCACTAGCTCATTTGATATCTTAGCATCGCAACTTATGTGATTGACGAATATACTCGTCACAAACTCGATTCGGACAGCACAGTTAACTGGTTAAATTGCAATAATGAAATTATATAAAAAAAAACATATATAAATGCATTGCTAGTACAACCATAAAATTTAATGATATAATTTTTTTAAAAAATCAACTTAGTTTTAAGAAATAGATTATATCAGGGACGACCATTAATCACGTGAGGTTGACAAAAAATCACGAAATATCACGTGGGGCAGGGAGGGGGGTATAGTAAGAAAAGAAGTAAGAATCACGCGTATGAACTTTTTACCTAAATTTTAAAAAAATCAAACATTTAAAAAAAAATAAAAACTGTACAATTTTTTGTTGTAACTAAAAATACACGCGATGTTTGTTGGGGTAGGGGGGTTAATTTTGAATATCACCAAGGGGAGGGGGGATTCAATTTTTTTTGAAAAATTGATCACGTGATTAATGGACACCCCGTTAAGCTGGCAAATCATCATACAGAAACTTAATTACAAAAATTAGATTATATTAGGTGGCCATTAATCACGAGAGGTTTTTAGGGTAAGAGGTGGGGAATTGACAAAAAATCACGAAATATTACGTGGTGGGGTAGGGAGGGTTATAATAAGATATCACGAGTATTAATTTTTTACCTGGATTTAAAAAAAAACGAGCATTTTCAAAAAAGAAATAAAAAATTCACAAAACATATACGTGATGTTTGGAGGGGAAGGGGGGTTAATTTTGAATATTACCACGAATCACCAAGGAGCACAGGGTATCCAAAAATCTTTGAAAAATTGATCACGTGATCAATGGACCCTCCCCCTTAAACTGGCAAATCATCATATTGTCACTTTATGGTTTTAGGGAAAGAAGGGGGAGGGAAATAGTAAAAAAAAATCCAACATTTTTATAAAAAAATTAAAAAATAAGCGTTATGTTTGGTAGGGGAGGTGGTGTTAATTTTGAATATCACCAAAGGAGAAGGGGATCCAAAAATCCTTGAAAAATTGATCACGTGATTAATGGACGCTTCCAAGCTGGCAAATCATGATATAGAGTGTATAATATTTTTAATATTTTTATTTTTATTAATTATTTATGATAAAGTAAATAATACTTTAATCAATCGAAACAAGTATAAATATATAAAAATATCTCTTAATAAAATTTATATAACAAACTTAAAATTACGTATTAGTATCTTTCAAAACATCTTTCAATATCGAACTTGCACTTCTGGGTGGTGCAAAAGTCGGCAACATGTTCTCATGTGTTGCCTGACTCAGTAAAGCATTTCCTGCTGCAGTTGTTTGTCCACTGCTGCTAGGCACAGGACTTACATTGGTAACACTATCTCTAGGACTACCTTCCTGTTTCGTCACACTCTGCTTCCTCTCCTGCTGCATCTGCAGCAGACTCGGTCCTCCCGAAGTCGGTCTGGGTAAAGACTCTTTCTCCAAGAATTCGACAAAGGCTTTAGCAAGGCCTTCTTCTCCCAATCGCAGAACAGATCCTCCAAACCAAGATGATTTTTGGTTGCTCAAAAGGCCTATGCGGTCGCATTCCGACTGGTTGAAGTCGAGGACTGCTGATATTATTTTTAGGATTTGTGCCTTGTCGTTTTGTTGACCAGCTGTGATGTAACCGAGCATTAGGTTTTTTACAAGGCTCTTCTCGATTTTGTCGGCTTGGTTGTTTTTTGAAGACTCCACTTTGGCGGTCAGAGCAGCGTATTTGTCTTGGCTCTCTTTCACTAGAAATAAATTATTATTGTAAGGGAACTAGTTTTTCATATTCATCACGTTGCGAAATATTAGTTTATTGTAGAACATATTAGCGCAGAATTTTTATTTTCTCACATAATTATCATAAACATCGATTTTTCTAACAAGATGAAATTCTGATCAGTGAAGTAACAGAATTTTCTGTAGTGACCAACTTTTTTGGCATTAAAGAGTAATGTGTTTCTTTAAAATTTTCAAAGGTCTATCTATCCATGGATTTTTGGCCGTTTTATTTTTTTATATATTCAAAGATATCTATCCACGGATAATAAAACAAAGTTTTGGCCGTTTTGAAGTAAAACTTCTTTAGGCGCGACTGGGGTGTAAATCCGTACAAATGCAACGGAAGTGCGTTACGGTTGATAGGATAAGATGATAGTCGAGTGCCAATGATTCGTCATTCGCTCTCGATGATATTTCTATACGGGTCGATTGTGATTAGTCGTCGCGTATGTGATGTTAAATGTATGTTAATTTTAATTACATGAAGTTCTTCAAACACCATTATTACATGATGAGTGAAGTTGCGAAAACAATATTTGTTTAGGCGTTTAACATATTCCACAAACGAATATTATAGAATTTATTAATCAGCAATTACTTCATTTCTCTAATGAAGTTTCATTCGCAAATGCTAATTACAATGACAAACCGATCATGTCATATTAGAAGTATGATTTTAATTACATTATTGTTTTCAAATATTATACATATTTATAATGCTATTATAAATATATATTTTTTATAATTTATCATTATATAAATGTGTATAATGGTCGACACTAATAAATGAGTGCATCACGAGTGTTTCCACATTACTAATAAACATAATTCAAAATTGTCATATGATGTATTTATTTTTACTTAAATGCCATTTTGTACAGTAGCAAATAAGTTTTACTTCAATCGCGTGTGAACCTTACGCACACTCTTTTTATTTTTAACAAATATTTAAAGATATCCACGGATTTTTAAAAAAAAGTTTTGGCCGTTTTACAACAATTTAAAGTTAGGACAAGTATTAAAGTGTGTGAATTGCTAAAAAATTAAATAAAAAACAATAGGTAAATAAAAGACGATTGAAAAAATTAATTTCTGATAACACTTTGATAGATGCGAAAATCTATAATATAGAAATGAATCGCAAAACTCCACAACGCCTGGACCAATTTGGCCATTTCTTTTTTAAAATGTTCGTTGAAGTCCAAAGATGGTTCTCACGGCGAGAAAAAATCGAATAATTGCCGGGAAAACCCTAAAAACAACCCTTTCTCAAAAAAATTCTTTATTGTCATTTCGGTCCAAGGAGATATATTATAGATAATTTCAATAAATAACCTTTCTTAAATATAATTTTCAGAAATAAATGCTTCCAATTTAAGTGCTTTTAATTATAATATAATTATTAGAATTTTCGATGTTTTTTGGTAATATTGTTCTATGTATACGTCATCATATCCATTATCATGATATCAGTTTAATGATACATACCTACCACAATGTATTTTTTTTTTCATGCCATCTAAATCTAAATGTTTATATGCACAACATTCACACCAAATTCAATAACAAATCAATAAAATTCATAACAAATACTAAAATCGATCAATTATTTTCCTAATGCTTCTCAAACCATGCGTCGGGTGCCGACCATCGGGTGACGAATATCACACAGCCACTGACAAGGTGCAAAAATCAGCCAGTACCTGATGTAATACTCATCACCAAATGGCCATCAAAATACAAAAAATAATAAAAAATTGATAAAACTTATATATAATTCAAGCATGCCCTCTTGTTCAAGAGGTCTTCATGAAAAAATAAATGATAACAATAATAATGTTCGGGCAACAAAGTTCAAAAGTTTGCACAAAAACATCAAGTGATTTTGGAAATGGAATAGGGTTGGAAGATTAACTTTATTTCAGCGTGGCATGCAAGCTTAAAAATATTATACATGACTTAAAATACAATACAAAAATGTACATCTTATTTGGTATTTTAAAGAACGAAATATTGGAATTTTTTTATAAAATATAGAGTCAGGATGTTTAAGTCGTACCACCGCCTAAGTCGTACCCTGGCTATATTATTGTTTGATAATTATAAATTACTTCTTCTGGTACCTTCAATTAGAACTATTTAGTAGGTTAAGTAAAACATTACAATTGGAAAGATGAACGACTTTGTGAAACATAAATAATAAAAATTTAAACTTTTTGTAAAGTTTCTACTAATATTTTTGGCTCAATTGTAAGTTTTCTACGGCAATAACATGATTCAGTTTTTTTACGACGACTTATTCATATTACTTTTTTGATAATCATTTAGGCATAATTGAATAGTACAATTTCTTTAGATAATGCAATTTGTTTTAATTTCAAACTTGAAACACTTTGTAACGTAAAGTCGTATCTGTGCAAAATTCCTTATTCGAACCGATTTAATAAAGAGTGTTTTATCGATTTTTTAATAAATACAACGAAATAATGCATAAATACAATATTTCAAGGTTTTGCTCAATTTGGTAATTGTAATGAATAATGATTTTTATTTCATGAACAGTTCCCCGTCTTCATTCTTAGTACCCAGAAACTCAATAATTTTTTTATAAGTACATTTATCACTTTATCATGTTATAATTTTATTTAGGTGTCATTTTTAACAATTATATTCAACTTGATAACCAATAACTCAAAAAAAAATTAATTCAGAGTTAATTTCATATAGTTTTTAGTAGTAGATACAACTAAGGCCGTAGGTGGTACGACTTAGGCGACTAGGCGTCGTAATCTTACCGAAAATACATTTTAAAAAACCTGAAATTATCTATTTTAATATAAATAATCAAGATTTCAGTAACTGTTATTCACAAACTAATTAAAACTCAATAAACCGACCAAAGATTTTCCTTTAAATAATTAGAAGGTACGACTAAAGCAACCTTACACTATATTATAGCTAATATAATATTCGAAGGGACAATATTTTCAAACGTGACAGAATGATTTTGCATTACAAATATTTATACAAAATAATGAGGGGCCAATTTTTCTATAAAATAGAAATGTTATGGCAACGCTGTTACGCTCCAATCTTCGTTTAAATTGGTAGTAAAAACTGTCAAAATGCTATGTAGGCGTTTTACACATAAACCTAACTTTACTTATGTGTTGCAAGGACACATCAGAAAGATGCACTTGTGCTTTTTTAACTTACCATAGGGTAAGTTATTGTAATCGACAAAAAATCGAAATTGGAAATTTTGCATTTCTTCACGTTTCAGCGGTTTCTGAACATTTTGGCATACTTCAGAAAAAATGGATGTGTGTGTGTATGTATGGATACAATTTTTCGTCAACGCTTTCGCGCGCACGGATCAACCGATTCGAATGGTTTAAAAAGCATTCGATTCCTATTGATAGGAAGCTGTGCTGATAAGTTTTTAGCAAAGGCAGGTCCAGCCCTTACAGAGATACGGAGCAAAGAGTGCTAGAAAATAGAAATCGATTTTATTGAGAGCGGTGGATCCGATTTGAATAATCCAAAAAACATTTAATTTGTAAGGATGGGAAAAAGTGGTGATTAGTTTTTGGCAGAGGCAGGTTCAACCGTATCAGAGATATAAAGCTAAATGTAAGAAAAAGTGCTATTTTTCAGAGTTGCCATAGCAACGCTATGTTACATTTCTATTTTATAGGAGAATTGCCACCTAAGATTGTATAAATAACAATACTAAATTTAAAAATTTGATTTGCCACCTAACGGCTTGGAATACAATTTAAACTAGCTGTAAGTGAAATTCTGTCTTAAGGCAATTAAGGCATCGTGCCTTAAGGCAAATTGCTGGAACTTCCCGTGCCAAAAATTATTATTTTTTTTAAAAACGATTAACATTTTTGAAAAAATTTTACTTCGAAAAAATAAGATTTTTTGGAAATTTTAAATCGGACGAAAAATTACTTTTTTTTGAAAAAAAATTTTTTTTTATAAAAAAAATTTTTAAACAATTTTTTTTATAAAAATTTTTTTTGGAAAAAATGTTATCTTCATTTTGACATATTTTGGAAGATCTGAACTTTTTTTCAAAGCAATCGTACTTCTTTAACTGCATAGAGACAAAATATAAAGCGCGTAAGCGCCGCGTCGCTGTCTAACGGTAAAACATTAGTACGGAACCCATAGGAATGTAAACAAAACTTATACTTATTGTTAAAATCTCAATAAAATATCTGATAATTTGATATGCATATGTCTAATGTCTAATGATTATTGTTGACCGCCATATGTTATTTTTTTTTAGTTTTTTTACTAGATCTCCGAAACCGCTAGACCTATCTTCATGAAAATTTGATCAAATCTTCATCTTGTTAATACAAGTAAAATGTGTTTTGAACTATACAAATCGGACGCTCCGTTCTCTTAAAAACTGAGTTACCGTTTTTGGCCCTTTTTGCCCCATATCTTCGGAACGGCTAGACCTGCCTTTGACAAAAACTAATCAGCACGTCTCCTTATCAATACGAATCGAATGTTTTTTGAATTATTCAAATTGCTTCATCCGTGTTCCCGAAATCGTCGACGAAAATTTGTATCCGAACACACACACATGCACGCACACACACACACACACATACATCAATTTTCTCCAAGGTATGCCAACATATTCAGAAACCTCTGAAACGTGAAGATATATAAAAATTTTCATTTTCGATTTTTTTGCGATTACTTACCCTATGGAAAGTTAATTATAAATAAATCAATTTATCATCTCCAGAACATTAACAATCGTCATTTCATTTCGAATCAAATTCAAAAAAAAAAATAGTTGCCAAATTTACACAAAATTGAAAAAGTGCTCCTGCATAGTCACAGTCTAAACGCATTTGCAAATAATTCTGTGCGACATTTTCACTTATACTGTGCTCAGATTGGCGGCATTTTCACATTTTTCAATAATTTTCACAAA